TAGCCTTGAATATTCCACTTTTCCAACACACCCCACGAAAACCAACCAATATGGGAAAAGGTTACAATTTTACCCACGCAATATATGAAAAGGTATACATTTTTAAGATCTAAATTATATGAATAGGGTGGGGTAACAGAACCCCAGCGACACCCCCTATCAATTAAGTATTGAAGTGCCCCCCCCCCCCCCCCCCCCCCCCCCCCCCCACCGGAGGTATTTTACTGCTACAAGATATTTGATTTGCTAATCACGCACCCGTTGATGAGCAGAGAACCATACTTTCAAGCCAGGGGCAGTCTATACTAACAGTTAGTATAGAAAGTCCCTGTAAAAAGGCAGGCAAATCCTAACAGTACTGTAACTTAATGATACATGTATATCAAGTTACAGCACCTCACCCAGCACAGTTAGCACACTGGTGTGTGTCAGTCTTATAATATAAAACTGCGTAGGTTCATATCGTTTGATTCAACGTTTTTTCGGATATTTTTTAGAGCCGTTGTCAACTTGACATTGTCAAATCCGACCTGCCACTTTGCAACCTGACCTGCAAAAACATAATTCGACTAAAAACAATGTCAGTCAAAATTGCTTTTTGAGACTGGGCGACTGAAAAAGTTTTAAAATGTGACCTTGTGACCCTACTTGGAATTCTTCCTTCATCGGCGTGTGTCGGTTTGGCTAAAAAGGGGGCATTGTTTTTTTTTTCTTGGGACAAAAAATTGTTTCTATCTTTATTAAAAAAAAAAAATTAAGACCAATCATAAACTTTTTTTTCAAAACTCAGTGTCGTATTTTATTGTTTTCCCAACAATTTTTAATAAAAGCTTTAAATGTTTGTTTCACTTCCCTCTGACTTCCCTCCTGATTTTTTTTCTCAAGAAATTATAGAATCAGTAAATGGATATATACATATGTCTGTGGTCACCGTCATGCAGTTAGATAAGAAATTCCAGCATGCATCATCAAATAATTCATGTGTATTTGTGACATCAACATAACTGAAACATTATATTATTTCCCAGTAATTATGTAAATCATTTTGATTTACAATTATATATGTCTGGGACTTATGCATGTATATATCTCACAGGCACTTGTCTCAGAAAAAAAAATCCTATATACTTTAATAAAAGTATATAGGAAAAAATTCTGAGACAAGTGCCTGTGATATATCTGTCAGTCCCAGAATAATAAATATAATTGTATCTTATAATCTTTGGAAAAATCCGATTATTAAATTGTTAAATTCTTTTACGTCATAATTATATCAAAGTATACTTTTTAAAGTTTTAAATTTTAAAGTTAAAATGAATATTCCGTTTTGATCTGAGGAAAAACTTTTTAAACTGTAATGACATGGTCAGTCAACTGATTTGTTGAATGGCTGATTACAGGTAATTAAAGCATGCAGTAATTTTCCATTACGACAGTGCGTGTACCCTGGGGTGTGTATAACCTATTAGAAATATCATAGTTTTCTAGAGAACATCCTGTCTATGTGTAATACAGATTGATGACATTACACAAATTTTTTTTCGTTAAATGTAGTTAAGTATCTGTGTCTATTCCCTATTGCAACACTACAATTCTTTCGAAGAAAAAAATGTTAAAATTAAAAAAAAAAATCATTTAATAAAATAAAGAAGAAAAAAGTAGCAAATAAACTTATGTAACTACGCATTGAGTAAACATAATTTCACTTTACATGTACAAACCCTTGAGAAAACGTATATATAGATGTGTTTAAAAAGGCCAATTCCCAGTGGATTTATTTCACACTAGGACCACAGGCACTTGTCTCAGAATTTTGTTTCCTATATACCTTAATACAGGGACTTTCTATACAAACTTAGTATAGAAAGTCCCTGCTTAATATAACATTAAAAGTATATAGGAAATTTTTTTTCTGGGACAAGTGCCTGTGACTAGGAACTAAGATAACTAGAACTAAGTTCATTGGAAAGGCTTTTTGTCTGATACATGTATACGTATAGATAATGTACATAATTAAGAACAGCTTCAAATATATGCCTATAAATTAACGGTACGTCTTAAAACCGCTCAGGACCTCCTGAGTGCAGACAGGACATAAAAAGTCACTCAGGACATGTATATATGTTATAGTGAGCGTTGAGGGTAATTTAATATTTGATCCTATAATTTTGGTTTTGATAAAATCAAACCAACATTAAAGAAGTTATTTGGGATACGTCATGCATGACCGATGATCATATTCAATACCAATCATCATTTTGATTACGACGTTTGATCTTTAATAATTAGGACTGATTGGTGATGGTTATAAACACATACAAGTAAACTTTGCAAACAAACAAAAAAAAAAACGCTTCCTTGGAAAAATTATAAAAATACATGAATATTGTTTTTACAAAAAAAGTTAAATAAATTTTTCGTTTTGTACGTAATAATTGAAGCCATTTAGAAATATAAGAAATCTTCACATAGTCGGGAAATTTTCAATTCAAGTTATTTCATGTGAAAACGTTAACAAATATAGATCTTATTCGATGTAAAATGTGGCGTCCTTGGAGATCAAAACCCCGTTTAAATAGGGTTTGTCTACTTTCGTCTATTGCCGAACATTCTATAATCAAGGATTTTTATAAATCCTTGCTATAATATAATGAATCGCGTCGCCAATATCACCACAATTACATAAAGTACAAATACAATCTTATCCTAAATATTTGGCATCTAACAATTACAATAGGAAATTTTGAGTCGAAACTGAAGTACCAAATCTACAAAAAGAATCACTATTTTTTGTAGTAGTAGGCGTTAAAAACTAAACTGTTTATAATATTTTTTTCTCCTAAATGAATTGAAACTCCTGAAATAATTTAACATTATCTATAGACAGCTTACATTTGCAAATCTTTTTAGAAGTATGTGAGTGTATAGTAATAATTTGTTCATTAACCCCCCTTTTTCCTTCTATAAAATTACATTGTAATCGATTTTATTTCCAAATTTGTGTTTGCTAGGATTGACACTTAGAACGTACAACAAAAAGTAACAAGTAAAAAGTCACGATTCAGTTTTGGGATATTTTTTTCTTTGAATAAACTTAATTTTAAAAACGTTTCAGTATTTTCTGAAACATTTTTAAAAGTAAACGGACTTGTAAACAAAATTTATTTTTGAATATTAATATGAACAATGATTGTTAAGAAAACAATCTGCCAAAGTGGTTTGGTAATTAACTGAAGTCATGCTGTCAAAAATATCTCCGTTTATAAGTTATTGATAAAAAAAACTATTTGAAGGCGAATTAACCATTTCCTCAACTAAATACATTTATCTATAAATAAAATCAATTCGTCAAGAACTTTCTCTCATATATTTAAACAATTGTAAAATAATTAATTTAAACCTTTGTCCTGCGACTTTCTGTCCGTTTACCAATACTTATTCCTTGTTAAGTTTTTTCATATCCATTTACGAATACTTATAACGTGATAATTAATTTTCCCGGATGCTTTTTATCCTATTTTCATATCAAACAACCATGTTACCCGTAGAACGGAGTAAAGTACAAATTTAGGAATTTAGTACTTAAAATTTCAACAATAAAATTTTACACTTTCATTTACCTGGATTTTTTTCTACGCTTCGAAGCCGCCACCCTGTATCAAACTTATCCAACACCTCGCATGGCGTATTCACGATGTGGAGGGATTGACAATATACAATCAAAGTTAGCAATATACAGCAAGTAAGTAATTGGGTGTTGAATGCCAGTAGATCTGAATTTGTAAATTTTTAAATTGAATTTAACCTGTTTAGAACGTGTATTGTTGAATTGTTCAATAAAATTACACACATAATCTGGGCTGATATGCATAAAATCACTTTAAGTTCAAGGTATCAATAAAACTGGGTCTGCATGAAAAAATGACTTATCACATAATACCAGAACCTATGTTTAGCCTACTGTTACACGATAAGAAAATATAGCTGTAGGCCTAGTTGAAAATCTTTACAAATTATTTATTCTTTTAATTTCTGTTTGGCTGTCTGGGTGCTTCTTATGTGTTTTAAATGCTATAGTCAAGTTTTATAGACTGTTGTACGTCATTTGGTCGTTTTTAAGTTTTTGCCATGGCGTTTGTCAGTATGTCTTCGACTTATAAGTTTTATCAAGGATTTGTATAGTGAGATTGGTTTTATATAATCTGCATCTCTTGTGCTGTATTTTAAAATGTATTACAATTGCTTCATCTTAACACATTCATCAATACACCAAAAAATATGAATAAAGCTTTCGTATATATACAAATAAGGAGATGTGGTGCGATTGGTAATGAAACAACTATCCGCCAGTTCAATTCAAAAACCTGATATAAGCAAATGTGACTTACTTACTTGCTTTAGTCAGAGAGATCTTGAATCTGAATGCAAGGATACGAAGTGGGAAGGGTTTAGAGGTGGATTAAGGTGAGGGCATGGGGGCCTGCCCCTATTTTGGAAAAAAATTGGTTGATTATTTAGAGAATCACTGAAGCGGGCCCCCTCTTTATGCATGACAGTTAGTGCCTCCTTATGACATTTGTTGGGTCCGCAACTGGTGAGGACTTCATAAAAAAATATTTAGCAAGTTTTTGTTTTGTGATAAATAATGTATTTAGACAGAAATAGGATAAAATAAACTACCGAAAGCTTAAGTCTACATAACAGGGTATGGATGAGGGTTAACAGAATAGAGAATAACGGGCAAACAATAAAGATTAAAGAATAATGAAATGCTAAAATATGAGGAAAGAGAGTAATGAGCAAAAAATGAAAGTTTGTAGAAATATAGCAAAAAAAAAAAAAATAAAGAACACAGAAAAAGAAGGATACTGCATGACTGCATAGTAAACTATCAATGTACTAGTTAATGTTCTCGAGGGATGACCCTATTAAAGAGACATATATACACATATGTGTAAATATGTCTCTGCCCTATTACGTGTCAGTAACCTCCGCACAAGGATAATAGTTACGCTGAACGGTGCCCACTGGTCACCCTATAAATAGTGCTCTTGTGTGTAGTAATATTGTAGTTCTAACACATGTCTAAAAATAGAAAGCTTAAAATAGACAATTCATCTTTCTATTTAGCAATACACCATAGAGCCTGTCACCGTCTGTATTATCTGTAAGTAAAATTAACATACCGAGCAATTGAATACAATGAATAACACAAACTTAAGCATATTAAGTTTAATTAAGTCATTCAAAGCAAAATAATTGTTTCATCCATTTTGCATGATTTGTCATTTGTGATGACACGTTTTTTTTAAATGTTCGAATCACAGACTAGAAGGATATATTCACCCTAAGACTCTAAGTAGAAGTAGATATAAAAAAAATTCACAAAATAAATAATTCACTAAGGCCGTGTTCACACCAAACGTCGTGTACAGTAAACATGTTTACATTTGGTTTAATGTAATGTACGCTAGTTTCACATTAAATTTGTTCAGATCTATACACCTTGTTTAGTTACATGTACATAAGATTTGTTCACACTCGTAAACTATATGTCATTTAAATGTTCATTACGTAGAACCGAATTCAAATTTTCGAACAACTTTTCTACAGTTAATAAACGACCACTTGACTTTAAAAAAAGGGGGGGGGGGGGCGGGTGGATTTTTCCACAATTAGATTTAAAAAAAAAATTGAGACATTCAGACAATTATAGAATGAACAAATATTCTGAATCAAACGTTTTCCCATACATTATAGTGTTAAACATGTTAAATATTATACAAATTGGTACCATCGAAAAAAAACTAATTATAAACTTTCGCGCGAGAACTCAGAACCCCTCTCCCTTTTTTTTGAAGTAAAGTGGTTGCTCCTTTAAGAAAGTCATTTTGGATGATTTGCAGTAGTTTAAAGATGTCTCGATTACGCATTAAAAACGTAGGATTGCCATTAGCGTGCTTACAGACGAAGAAAAAGAATTGCTATGTTAAGGATCACTACATTTCTATCTCTTCTGTTTGTTTCAAGTGCTATTTTTTTTTTATCCAAGGAGTATTTGTCAAAGGGAGGGGAGAATGTTTTTTTTATTATTTCTAATAGTATTTTAACGAGTCTCAGATACTACACAAACAAACAATTAACCTCCCCCTTTTTCAGTAATGCATTTATAAGTGAATCGCTGTTTGAGTATAAAGACCAGTGGCAAATATTTCTGTCAGTGTGTACGTCTGATCGATTCAGGAAGACCTTTTCAAATGAACTATGTGTTCGGCAAAGATGATAGATGAGTCTTGATTAAATCTTCATGTAAACATTAAGTTTTATCAATGGGAACGTGTGAGTTACACTAACACAACACCGAGTTTAAGTCAATGTGAACACGGCCTAATCTTATACATGTTGTTGATGATATTGATAATGTTAAGATAGCTTAAGCAATGGATGAACTGTATTTTAATATTTTTTAAGGATAATGTTAGCTGTCATAAAAGAAAGAAGTAAAGGTTAGTTTTTAAATCAATTCTATATTTATCTTCAAGAAGAAAGGAAATGCTATTGATCTAGTGCCACCTTACAAACGGAAGACAAAAGTTACACAATACAAAGTTAGGGATTTACCTACTTTAGAGGTTTGATCAAGAGTACCAGAAGGTTCCATATTATGACATTTACTTTTAATAATATTTTTCAATGATTTATCTCTTGAGCTTGAGAAGGTTTCTTCTGATGTTATGCTGATCTTACAGTTTTATTTGTCAACTCAACCAGTAACATATTTATATGTATTTATGAATGTAGACATTTGTAATGTTGTTAGCTATATATAGTTGGTGTAATTATATTAAAATGCCATTGAACAGTATTAAGAGTAAGGTCACATTCTAATCGACTTAATCCTTTTAATTCAGGATTTAATATTTATATAATAGTTGGACCGCTCACAGGACAGTGGTATTGACTAAGGTAGCGATAATGACGCGAAGGCGAGGTCATTATCGCTGTCATAGTCAATATTACTGTCCTACGGGCAGTCCATGTATCACGATAATGACCAGTTTTTTTTGAAGAACTATTATGTTTATTTCATTGAGGAACTATGTTTTGAAAATTTTCATTAATTCAAAATGCCTAAAGCGAACTCGAGTAGTTGACGTACGATTTGTATGGCAGAGAGTGAAGACCAGTTGTAGGAATACTCCCATTCATTTTAGTGCAATTTTTCAGTATATAAATACTTAATCAAGTTCTCTTTAATTTTATTATTAACAAAAACAAATAATAAACAATTCAACAAATTAAATATAATATTAAAGAAAGGAACATGTTTTAAAAATGGATAAATCTCTCTAAACAGAGAAACCACGCCCCATTGGTCATTAACAGAGAAACCACGCCCCAACGGTCATTTACAGAGAAACCACGCCTCAACGGTCATTATCAGACGGAAACCACGCCCACCTGTCATTCTCATGTAAAAGTTCGTTAACGACCAGTTTTCTGGTCCGTTTTGTTCTGTTAATGAAGGATGGAATTTATTACTGAAAAATAATGAATGTCATATTACCCCTTTTTATCCAATAAGAGAATCTTATTCTGAACCGATATGAAATAAATAAAATTACAATTAAATTTCAAAGTAGACGTAAACCATAACATAAAACTGCTAGGAATCCAAAAAAATAAAGAGGGAGGGCCAATTTGCCGGAGATTTGTTTCATTCGATAAGATAGGTAAATAATGTTTTAAATAGCCCGATAGATGCTAATTATAGTACAAGAAAATACGTCACATTATTTATTTTCATACCTTGAACAGGTATTCCTACAAAAACAAGGCCAAGACTATTGTTTTTTTAATATTGATTTTATTTTATTATTAACATCCTTTATGCGAGGTGCCATACCATGTAAATTGTCAAGGAGCCAAATAATATCGAACTAATTCAAATCGTGATTTTCTCATTCTGAATATGTATATCTGTATTTGTCCTGGTCTTTTAAGGTTTTATCGTCTATAAGATAAGACAAGAAAATACATGTACATGTATATAAAATTAAAACCGGAGAACATCTTACATCAGTTGGTCATAGATCACCCTGTGTTACTACTTCATGTTTTATTGCCTTTTCTGTAATTTTAACAAATCGGCCCTTCGTTGTGATAAAGATGCAACAGCTTCTTGATGTTTTACCTACAATCGCGATTTGTAGTGTAATTGATTTGTTCTGTTATGTTGTTTTATTTTTCTGATGAGTTAGGTACCCGTGTATAGAAGGTGGTAAAAATTTCAGTACTAGTATCTTTACAGTTTGTGATTTGGCGACAAAATTGTTGTTGACTGCATTTGTTACATATAATACCATGTTCAAAAAAGGTTTCGACGAATTGTTTTTTGTTGTTATGAAACTTGTATACAATGGCCTTATTTTAAGTTATGTGTATATTACACCCGCAACATGTAGGCTTAATTTCTATAGAATTAATTCTCGTGTTATTGGTTATGTACAGGCACCTACATCAATTTGACGGCAGTTGTCCCTTGGATATACGTAATAATGTAAACACATGAATAGAAAGTAATTCAAGAGTATGGACAGTCATAGGATTGCACACAATAAGCGATACATTATTTTTCTTTGATACACGTAAAATTATATACTAGTAAACTAACTGAATAGTCAAAATGAACCAGAATGACTCTATGAGTCAAGCAAACATCCGAAAAAATATGATAGAAACTTTAAAATTTAATATAACAACACAAAAAAATGCAAAAGTTCTGAGCGAGGTTCGAACCCTTTCTTCAAATTCATCATTTATTAGTAGTTCTGTGCTCTAATGGTGGAGCTACGGCGATTCTGATCATTATGACTCTTATTTAGAAGGTATATCGGTACAATTTATCGATGTTACAATTTTTTCTTTAAAAAGTTGTTTTTTATGTAATAAGGACACACTAAACCAATTTCATTTTTGAAGTAAAAAGTAGTATGAATAACAACAGTCATAAAAAGCATAACTTTTTTTTGGTTTGAAATGTCCTTCTTGGGGGATTCCCTGTTTTTTCCACATAAAAACACCCGAAAATCCGGATATTGGATTTTCATCATTTTTTAGGGTTAAATTAACTATTGATCACACATATCATACTATATGTAAATCGAGATATTGATCAAAAAGCATTTTTATTTTTTGTTTTTATAGTAAATTTTATTCTGTCGGCACTTTTTGAAATTGGCCCTTCTGTGAAAAAAAATCCTCGGCATATTGGCCCTACCTCTTTCTTTCGTTGGAAAATTAAAATTACCAAACTCTGTGCAGTAATTGTGTGCATACTAAAATCATATCTTCCAGATTAAACAATGGTTACCTTTGGTCACCCTTCATATATATTGAAACTGGTTACTTCCTAACGCCATACACGTGACATATATTGTCTTTCGTTTGCTGTCGGCAGTTTACATAGATATAGATTTTGATTAAAGATTACATCTGGTCGCCATAGAGATTTATTGACTGGTGCCCTCTGGTCACCTTTCACATATATTAACTTTGGTTACCTCTGGTCACCTAACACAGATATTAACTTCGGTTATCTCTGGTCACCCTACTCATATTGACTTAGGTTGCCTCTGGTCACCCTTCACATAAAATGACTTTATAACCTCTTTTCCTACTAAGTTATTGACCTGAGTTACCCCCGCACAATTATCAAACTTGTTAACTTGTAGGCAGTTCACACATATACAGATTTGGGTTACATTTGTCCCCTACAGATTTATGGACTGGTGCCCTCTGGTCACCCCTTCCCATTTATTGACTTTCTCTACATTTGGTCACCTTACATAGTAATTGACTTTTGTAACCTGTGGTCATCTTACACATATATTGATTTTAGTTAACTTTAGTCAGGTGACAAAGTTATGAACTTTGGCTAGCTCTGCGACATTTAAACAGATATATATTCTTTGATTAAATCTGGTCACCCTACGCATATTGTCTTAGTTAACATTCGCTTACCTTACAAATATATTGACTGGTTACATCTTGTCGCCCTTCACTGATAGTGACTTTGGTTGACCTCTGGTCACCCTACATAGTTTCTGACTTACTCTGCTAACCCTACACATATGTTGATATTAATTACCTCATGTCATTCTGTAACTTGTAAACCTTTATTACCTCTTTGCAATTTAAACGGTTATAGACTTAAATAATATGGCACCTATTGTTTATATAATATTGACTGCGGCTACTTCTGGTCACCCTACCCAAATATTGTGATCTTCTGTGCTAAACAAGATTGCACTTCTGTTTTCGTAGAATTCCAAAATTTAAAAGAAACTTAATTGATGTCATTTGTTTCAGGTATTATTATTTGTATTACTTTGATTGTTAAAAATGATTATTTATTTAAAGCATTTTTGGAAACTATATGGGATTCATGGAAAGGAAATGCTGACGAAAAGTTTGGTACGGTGTATGGGAATGTTCTTTACGTATCGGATTTAATGAGCTTAAAAATTGAGGAGGAGTTGAATGATCAGGTAACAGTACTAATGGTTTAATTTATGTAATAAAGGTTAAACGTTTTCAAAGATCTTGAACTCTCCTCTGAAACTACTGAACCAATTCCAACCAAACGTAAGCTTAATCATCCTTAGGGTATCTAAAATAAAATTAAATCTGACATTGGTGAAAAGGTTCATTAGGTAAAGCATTTTCAGACAAATAAAACTACCCATTGTCATGGTACTTTATGTTATGTGTTATCTTGATCAAACTTGTATGTCTTCACCTTTGTGATATTTAGTTTTGTTGATGGTTTCCTTTGTATCATACTGATTGAAAAGATCTGACCTTATCATTTTCTTTTTTTTTCAGATAATTAATCTTTATTGTAGTGTACCAGAGGTCACCCTATTCAATATCTGTGTATGGCGACCCGAGGTTACCACATTCAAAAAAGGCAATTGCTATATATATATATGTGTGTGTTGACAATGGCAACATAATTCAATGTATGTGTACAGCGACCAGAAGTTGCTATATTAATTATAAAAGTAGCGCAAAAGTGTGAACCGGGATAACAGATGCTAACCAAATACATTATTTATGAATTGTAACCATAGGTAACATCAGCCAATTTATTGTAGGTTGACCAGAGGTTACCATTTTCAATATCTGTGTAGAGTAACAAGAGCTAACCATACTCAATATTTTGTAGGGTGACCAGAAGTAACCACAATCAATATCTTTTTAGATGACAAAAAAAACCATATCCAATATCTTTGTTAGGTGAGCAGAGGTAACCATATTCAAAGTTTTGGTAAGGTGACCAGAGGTTACCATGTTCAAAATATGTGTAGGGTGACCAGAGGTAACCATAGTCAATATATGTGTAGGGAGACCAGAGGTTACCACATATAATATCTTTTTAGGTGACCAAAGATAACCATATGCAATATCTTTGTAAAGTGACCAGAGGTAACCTTATTCAATATTTGTGTAGGGTGACCAGAGGTAACCATATTTAAAGTTTTGGTTGGGTGACCAGAAGTAACATTATTCAATATATGTGTAGGGTGACCAGAGGTAACCATATTCAAAGTTTTGGTTGGGTGACCAGAGGTAACCTTATTCAATATCTGTGTAGGGTGACCAGAGGTAACCATATTCAAAGTTTTGGTTGGGTGACCAGAGGTAACCTTATTCAATATCTGTGTAGGGTGACCAGAGGTAACCATATTCAAAGTTTTGGTTGGGTGACCAGAGGTCACCCTATTCAATATCTTTGTAGGGTGACCAGAGGTAACCATATTCAATATCTTTGGAGGGTGACCAGAGGTAACCATATTTAAAGTTTTGGTTGGGTGACCAGAAGTAACCTTATTCAATATATGTGTAGGGTGACCAGAGGTAACCATATTCAAAGTTTTGGTTGGGTGACCAGAGGTAACCTTATTCAATATCTGTGTAGGGTGACCAGAGGTAACCATATTCAAAGTTTTGGTTGGGTGACCAGAGGTCACCCTATTCAATATCTTTGTAGGGTGACCAGAGGTAACCATATTCAATATCTTTGGAGGGTGACCAGAGGTAACCACATTCATCATCTTGGCAGTGTGACCAGAGATTACCAAAATAAACAGCTTACTAGTAGGTTTAATAAAGGTATCTACATTCAATATTTAAGTATGGTGTCTAAAGATAAATAACTTTATATCTGTGTATGGCGACCCGAGGTTACCACATTCAAAAAAGGCAATTGCTATATATATATGTGTGTGTTGACAATGGCAATATAATTCAATGTATGTGTACAGCGACCAGAAGTTGCTATATTAATCATAAAAGTAGCGCAAAAGTGTGAACCGGGATAACCGATGCTTACCAAATTCATTATTTATGAATTGTAACCATAGGTAATATAAGCCAATTTATTGTAGGTTGACCAGAGGTAACCATTTTCAATATCTGTAATTGTTTACCAGAGGTTACCTTTTTCAATATTTGTGTACGTTGATCAGAGGTTACCACGTTCAATTTATGACCGAAGTTTACAAAATTAAATATTTAAGTAGGCTAACTATAGGTAACCAAATTAAATATTTATGCACGGTGACTAGAGGTAATCAAATTTTCTATCTGTGTAAGATAAGAGGTAACCACATTCAAAATATGTGAAGGGTGACCAGAGGTAACCCAATTCAGTATTTGTGTAGGGTAACTTGAGGTATTTAAAGTTCATATATGTATAGGGTGACCAGAGGTCACCAAATTCAATATTTTAGTAATTTATGTATGATTAATCATATTAAAACTCTTGCACAGTCATCAGTACATTTTCATTATTACCGGACTTAAGAAAGAACTCACACGATGGGAGCGTTCAAGACATGATTAAGAAGATTCCTGTTGTTCCTTACTTTTTTAATGTTGTTGTAAATTTCTTTTGGTATATCTGTTTACTCCTTGGTTTTGATTGTATTTGTCTTAGTAGGGTGACCAGAGATTACCAAAATCAAGACATATTTAGGGTAACAAGAGGTAGTTAAAGCCAGTATATAGGTTTTGAAACCGAACATAACTCAATTAAAAGTATTTGAAAGATGTCCAGATATAACCGTGATCATTATCTGTGTAGGATGGCAAGTTTATAACTAATTCAAACATCTGTGTTGGGTGACCAGAGGTTTCCATATTCAGTATATGTGAAGGGTGACCAGAGGTAACCATATGCAATATCTTTGTAAGATGACTAGAGGTAACCTTATTCAATATATGTGTAGGGTGACCAGAAAGAACCTTAATTCAAAATTTTGGTAGGGTGACCAGAGGTCACCATATTCAATATCTTTGTAGGGTGCCCAGAGGTAACCATATTCAACATCATTGTAGAGTGATTAGGGTTAACCATATACAACATCTTGGTAGGGTGTCCATATATTACCAAATTAAACATCTAAGTAGGGTTATTAAAGTTAAATAAATTCAATAGTTATGCACAGTGTCTAAAGATAAAAAATAGAATATATGTGTAGGGTGACCAGAGGTCACCACAATTAATTTTGTAAAAGGTGACAAGGTGCAACAAAATTCAATATCTGTGAAGGCTTGCCGGGTTGACAAGAGGTAACCAAATTCAATATCTTATAATGTTTATTGCAATTCAATACATGTGTTGGGTGACCAGAGGTCACCACAATTAATTATGTAAAAGGTGACAAGATGTATAGAAATTCAATATCTGTTTAAGGGCCATTCAATATCTGTATTTGTGTCAATTAATTAGAAGAACCACTGTAAATTTATCTGCAAAGGAAGTAAGGTTAATAAAGTTACTATGCATTTTGTATCAAATGACCAGTGTAACTGTATGCACTATTATTTTCTGTATAGGGTGACCAGAGGTAACCAATGGCAGTTTAAAGGTACCCGAGTTCGAGGCATACCATCTTTTTAGTTATATTTCATGAGAGTGCAATATAGGCCATTAGGTTATTTTTTTTTCTGAAAAATAAGCCATATCACTCGTTAATAGAGTTACAGATGAATCTTCTATGCATTTTCAATTGTTTGTTTTGAGTGAATCATTATGATTATTGATTATTTGTGTATTATTTTTTACTTTTTGTACCTCTCTCAACAGTATCCTTTGAAATATGGTGATTCCAGAACTTTGCATTAAGCTCATATCCGTATTGTATAACAGCAATTATAAACTGAGTATGCTGCACTGAGTATCCCCTTAGTAACGTACTTTCACTTTAAACCGGAAATCATGTACTATTTTTTGTCGCGTATAGACTCAATTTTAACCGTTTCTGTTCAGGTGACCAGTGGGCACCGTTCAGCGTAACTATTATCCTTGTGCGTAACCTCCTCGACACGGTTCATTTTTACGGCGGCTCAGTTTTGTCTTAAGAATAAACATAATTGATAAGTTTCTTTCCCCTGCATTTCTCGATCGCACTTGTAAATAGCACATTGGTCTCAAGACATTGGTTACAACACTTGCCGTCAGTACTCAAAATTGGAAAAATATTAAATAAGAAGGTATAGAAAATTAAATTAATGCACACACACTATTATCAACCACAGACATGATGTTTTTCTCAATTTGCCTAAATCGTTATTCCGCAATACAACGAGGGTGAAAACCCACCACTTTGAACACAGTCACAGGCACCGGCATGCTGTGTTCTTGTTGATTATATAGGGATCACTGAAGCATGACTGGAGCCGGCCCTCCCTTATGAAAAGTTCTGGATCTGCTACCTGTATATTCATAAAATAAACCAACAAATTATCCAAAAGATGAATAATACTTAATACTTACGACTAAGATTGATTATAAGTATTCTTGAGTCGGTTTTACAAAAAAAAAACTTACAATTTATCGTAAGTATACTGTATTGTACATGACTTAATTACTATCAATATTATTTGTAAGTTTTTTTGTGAAACTGACTGCTGAATTGTTTTTCCATGCTTATGGTACATCTAAGTCGTATGCTTTTTTTAAAACCACCTCCATGGTATAATGTCTGCTCGCCCATAGAATCTGTTTGTAGATATAGGAAGATGTGGTATGAGTGCCAATGAGACAACTCTCCATCCAAGTCACACAATTTATAAAAGTAAACCATTATAGGTCAAGGTATGGTCTTCAACACAGAGCCTAGTTTTTATCAAAAATGAAATATATTGATATTAATAGTATACAGGTTAAATAATTTATTCATACATTTTTAATTGACTGACTAGAATTATCATGATTATTGAGGAATTTAAACCATTCCTATTTTTAAAAAGGGACAAAAATAAAATTTATATATAATAACAGGGTGATACAAATGAGAAAAACTCAAGAAATTGTTTTCAATTAAGATAAATACATGGTTTTCAGTTGTTTTTTAAAGCAGAGGCAGATTTAGTTTAAAGTTGGAAAAAATTGTTTGTACCAACAAAAATAAATACACAAAGCTAATCTAGAATTATGTGTTTATCATTTTTTTTTATGTTTAGGTTGCCAGCAAGATGAAAAGAACAATGCAGTTCAAAAGTCAAAATGTGGATAAGCTGCGGTACAAGGTCCTACTTTTGCAGATTTTCATATTTTGCATGAATGAATTTGAAGTTTAT